GGTTTCCGCTTGATCAAAGCAGTGGCCCAAGAACGCACAGGCCTTGCCTATAACTAGGCTTCTAGAGTGCACCCTGTTGTAGAGGGTTTCCATGGCAGTGGTCTCCACAGCACACGGTTGCTGGGATGATGAAGACAGATTCGAGGGTTGCGAAGGTGCGACGCTTCAAGGACCACACAGTCGTTTCGGTGGAAGCCCTGCAATCAGCTGATCAGAGAGTTAGCCTTAGAAGTAGCGTACGCTATGGAACAACGTGTAGGTGTCCTTAATGTGCGAACTGTGTGCATCTAGTTTCTTTGAATGAAATGACATCGAATACGTGGCATCAGCTCTCTGCCACGTGATCCCTCCCTCCGCTCTGATGACATGGGAAGAGCTTTCGTGCATCTCTAAATTTTGAATGCTCAATTATGTACCAAAAAATAACTGAATGCTGAATGAAGTGCTGAAAGGTCGATTTCGGTGTACGTCTCCATTCATATGTTTTGATTGCATTTAGTACACTTTTCTATGTTCAAGGCCCTTGTGCCGAACTGATTGAGGTCATCCGAATAGAACAACTTGAAAATGGTTCGCCCATAATGGAGCCACTTTCCTCCTGAAGACGAAGGCAAAGATCCTTTTTTTCATTACGTGATTCCAATTTTGCATACAGAGTCCTTCAAATGCCTCTCCCAGGCTATTAGCGCACTAGAACTTTTACTAAGCTTCTTCATACCAATTATTTTCAGATGAAGGTGTCTGGATTAGTTTGTCTCAGTGAAGGTATTGTAAGCTACTAAGTATGCTCTGCACACCATTATTCATAATGTGTTTAACTGACTAATGATAATGGTTGAGAAAGTGAGACACCAATAGGAAACAGCTATCAGATAACGGCTGAAGAGCGCATGAATAGAAACTGCTTTCAATAACTCCTGAGGGATTGGGCTCGCCTTTATCGAGTCAATTGTTTGAATAGAAGAATATTGCTGCCATGAGGGTTAATTAGGAGTAGCGAATGTGTTCACAACTGGAGCCGCTTTTCAGATATGGACTACAAAAACGGCCCTTGCAGTCTGTTTTCTGAATTGGACAATCGCTGCTATCATTACCATGTTTGGTGTAATTGTTGGCAATCCAGAAGGGTCTTTCTACGTGTCGCTCGAAGGAACACTTGAAATTAAATACGTATATAGTGGCAGCCATGTACGTATCTGAATGAAAACATTCACTCTTTGCTTGTTTGCATTCAGCTTGATGAAGAGATTTTTTAATTTTTCAGATTCTCGCCGACGTGGCCATAATACTCTGTGCTTTTACAGTTGCCATCTGCACATGTTTATATGTCTTACTGGGCTATGTCATTTTGAAAGCGAAGTTAATCAGGAAGGTGGAATATACCGATTTCAGTTCTCTTGCAGGTTATAGTCAGTCTGATTTAGGACATGGGTATTGGTAAAGGCGAACTGAAATACCTTCTGTGTGCGGTTCTCACGTTCTCTCCGCTTACGATCGAGTTGACTCGCAGCATATTTGAAAGGTATGGCACTGTATCTGGAGCCCCAGTCTTGGACATTTCAAAGAAGACTTGGTTAGTAATGCAACTTCTTTTTTCAATATGATCGTGTTGTGATGTCCGATCCTGTATATCCTTCTCACCCTCTGTCTAATGCCAATCTTCTCATGCGCTGCCCCGATGTATGCACTGAAAGGTGCCGTTTGAGGAGAAAAACAGCAGGGATGAAATTTTGGTTTTGCAGGATTATGAGCCACGATCTGCTGATAAGTGTCCAGTTTCTCACCTTGGTTTTCGTCACGAGACTTCACCGGCTTTTTATCGATCTTCCTTTCTGCAGGAAGAATGTAACAAGGGTCCGTTCCTCTGCGTCCGACTCTCCGGCTCTACAACTACGCAGCAGATGAAAGAGGTAGTGATCACGACACCTGGGACAAGTTTGGCATACGGACCCTGAAAAGGAAGCTATACGTGCCAGTCGTCGGCCCCTCCTAGGGCTTCTTCACCGTCGGTTGTTTTCTTCCTAGATCAACCACTATCCGACCACCATCGGTGGGGCAATGAAGCCGTAGGCGGGATCAACGCGCCTTCGTCACGCTGCCTCGACGTTTTGCAATTTTACAAACTATCACATCCAGGGACACGAAGAGACACTCATGAACCGTATCCCTATCTAACATGCGTGGAATTCCAGGGTCCGCTTGAGGACAAACTGAAATGGTAATTTCTGCCATGAAATATACCTTGTGATCCACGAATTTACCCAAAAACCTAGACTGCTTGTGTTTTCCACTGCGACAGTCTCAAGGAACCTAAGAACAGGTGTGCATCAGGATTAAAGGCAGATCCCGCGATTAATCGCCATCTCAGATGGTGGATTAGGGAGTGGATTAGGGGGTTTATAGACAACTAGGGGTTGAGTAACTCGACTGTAA